TGAGGCCATGAATTCGAGATAATTATCCAATTTCATACTCTGACTAATCACTTACATCTTACTAACACATAAGTAAAATAAAGAACTCACCTCCTCAAGATCACCACTCAGTAAGCCTCTTCCAACTTTTCTCTTTATAGTTCTCCATATTCATAATATTGATACTCCTAACACTTACTCATGCAGAGTATGGTTCACTAGGTTGGTTCCCCAACATCTGACTTCTTCGACATTTCTACAGATGATCAACTACGCAATACACTTAAAAAAATTTAATTTTAAAACTATTAACTTGACTTGCAATAACTTGCAACTCCATTCTTAACCCCACACATCCATAACGTTACACCAATGAGACTTGGGATCTACTTATTCCCAACAAGGTTTAAACATCATACTTTATCATTAACCAATCCAAACACCACATCAAAATATTAACATCAATCAGATTTCCAATAAGCCACTCCTATGTTTGTCAAACAAATAATACGCGCTCAAGATGAACCCTGACATTACCACATACTTATTGACTTGGTTTCTCTTCCAAATTGATTTCCAATGAATACTTCACCATACAGAAGCCACTTATCTGAATGACTCAAATTTGACAACTCTTATCAACTACCTATAAAACCACCTGTATAGTCTATTCCACAATTCACTTAGTCCCGTACTCAATATTAGTTTGTCTTTCATTGCTTACCATAGACTCAAACTTCTCAAGACACAAGACTCATTACTCGAACTAAAAAGTGTGATAAATCACATTCATATCAAAGCAAGGAATCAATTGCATACACATATGACCATAATGCTACTATCACCTACTTGTCTTAATACCAAGGTTTAACTTTCTCCATTATACTCCATCCTCTAGCAATCTCCGAATGTGAACCATTATCAACTACACGCCCCTGTCTTAGTCTCAATAAAATCCTTATTACTCCATGGTCTCTTTATATAAAATGCATTATATTACAATAGTTGCATTGCAAGCTTTACCTACTCCCAACTCTGCGTCTGCTTCTCTTTTAAAATAACTCCCTTAGCTCCAATAATAGGACCATTCTACTAGGACTTCCTTGAATTTAAAATTCTTTTTTCTCTCTTTGTCACAAATCTCTTTCAACTAATCCTTAGCTAACTTAACATTTCATAATGATCTCTTACTAACACTGAATTTCTAACGAACTATCTTGAACTCAATCTCCCTTCTAAGATTAGATATACTTGATTTATCTTCTACCCTTCGCTTTGTGCATACATGTTCCACTTGAAAAATGCATTCATATCCTCAAGTCTCCTCTCACACTTCACTGCTACATTAGACCCTTACAAAGATGTTGAACATCCTTATATCTCAAGCCTTCAACCACTTAGAAGATACCATTCTAAACAATCCCCTAACAATTTTATCCGATAGAATTTCTCAACATTCTGGCTCCTTTAGCACTACAAGATTGCTTGAACCATACACTAATCTTCAATTTCACATTACCCGGATCACAAATCCTACTAAAACTTCATCTGAGCTAATTGGTTCTTCTTACTTCTAAACTCTTGGCTTGAATCCACCCTAAATCACAAGCTCTACACAAAATTCGGAGGCCTCGTAGTCGCTCAACCATGATCCTACCTACCATACATATAGAATCAGGTTGATCAGACCCAATACTACATACCGTGATATTAAGAATCATGTTGGCAAAACATACACATGAGGTAGGAATAGATTTACTTATGTTTTTTCAAGGCTAGGTCGTGAATCAACCAGACTTTGATACCAACTGTAACAACCCGTATAATTATATATCTAGAATAATATCATACAAGTGTTAATTCTTGGTACTAACCCAACATAAGCGCCTAATCGAAACATTATATACACATGTCCAATTGTAACACGTCTATGGCACATGTTATACAATGAAGCATAAAAATGAAAAAAAAAATTATGTACAATATCTTAATTGTACATAAATCCATAAGAGAAGATCACAAGAATCAACATCCTTCGAAACATCAATGCACGACTCCTCTGGTATACAACCTGCAAACATGTCCTGAAAAACAACAATAATATTGGGGTGAGATAATAATCTCAGTGAGTTCCCTTATCCTATGGGTCCAATCAACTCTAAATGGGTTTTCTAATCGAATCCTAACTCAAGTCTTCACCTCTCGTTACTTGTGTATCACTCACACATCATAACCAAGACTTAAGTGCCTAAGGGATATTCGTAATGTATGGATACATGTCACTAAGTCCTCCCAACTCAAACAATCATTATTTGGATTCACGAAACATTAATCCCCAAATGGACCTACGTCTAAGCCAAGCTCGGGTCACACATGCTCGTATGGTTCGACTTTCATGGTGGATATCGGGCCCTCTATGAGACTCAAACTCAGTTCAAACGATCGTCGCCCGTATGAGACTCTAACCTACTTAGGGTATCTTTCACTGTATGGGACTCTAACCCACTTAGGTGTCTATATTTCCCCCATGCCTGCCATGGTTGGGAATCTAACCCAATTGAGGCATGGTGCCACATCCCCACTTACTGCTTTACCTAAGCCTTTGAAGTGGTATATGCACAATTACATCCAAATACATGATTATGTCACAACAACAATAGGACTTTTGGAGCAAAGCTCCTCACCGAATAAGACTTTTGGAACAAAGGTTCCTCACCAAATATCATACCAATCTCATAGTGCTCATTTTCACCCATTCACAAGATAATCCACATGTTTCATACAAAGCATATTGATCGTTAATCAGACGAATACTTGTCTGCGATACACACCTAGGTATTGTTACGTCTAAGAATCACTGTATACTATTTCCATAATCTAGATTATCTTTCTAAGTTATTAATCTAGTAATTATCCTAGGGTTTCCTCACTCATCATCATTGGCTTTTAATCATTCATGCATACACACAAACATCACAACCAACAATATATATATATATATATATATATATATATATATATATATATATATATATATATATATATATATATATATATATATATATATATATATATATATATATATATCAAAGCATACATTAAATCCCTCAAGATGACATAACATGCCACAGGGTCCATGGGTAAGGTTATCACTCAACCCGCCTCAATCTAACTTATTCTACTTTCAAGTCTCATAACAACATTTGCCCCATCATCCTATGGTGGGGGTTCATCGGACTCAAAATGGAAAGATTTAGTGGAATAACTCATATATATTTCTCTCTGTATCATAGTACTCTATTAGCTTCCCAACGCATCCGTTCTCACATCAATTGAAGCTACCATTCCCGTTTTATCGTGGAAACAGGAAAACAAGGTATTTACAATCACTTAGATTTCATCAATATCCTATTACTCATTGGCATAACACCATTTTTCTACGTTACTATCAATTAGATCATTGAAAGAGTTTTCCAACACCTCTGACTGTGCCTCATTTCGAGTTACGGTTCTCGAGTTATGGGGGAAATAAGAATCAAGTATTTTTCTCAATGTTGTCAAGTTCGCTTAGCGAGCTCCAGCAAACAGACTTTGCTAAGCGAACTCCTAGCGAACCAAGTCAGTAGTAGACTTCCCTTGACTTCTCTTAGCAAATTGTAGCGAACGTAGCGGAACCAAAGTTGTATCAGGACACATTTGGATGCGAAAAACACCAACCAACCTACATACATCATCATATTGCATCTAATAACCCAAAAACAACATGATTTACCACAAATAGGCATACAACAATAACATTGTATCATAGGAAGAATATAACAACCAAGAAAGGAAGATATCAACAACATAGAATCAACACAAACCCTAGAATTTCTAAGTCATGAAATCTCCCCTCCCAAAGCTAGTTCTATCTATGGAACTCACCTTAATCCAAAGAGATGATGAAGAAATTGAGATGGGGTTGATGATGATAATGATGATTTTATGAACTTTCGTCTTCTTCTTCCATGAGTTTCTTCTTCTTCTTCTTCTTTTTCCCTTTCTCTTTCTCTTTCTCTTATTTTCCTCTTCCTACTAATATCTCTCTTCCTCTCTTATCTACACATTCTTCTTCCATGAGTAAATTTTCACATGATGGTTTTTTATTTTCCCGTAAAAGAAATGGTGATTTTTTATTTTATAAATCAATTTTAAATGGGATGAGTTTAATTATCTCTAATTAATATCATCTATGATTATAGATAAATGAGAAAATGAGATATGCACTTATATATTAATGAATTATTTTACATTGTAAATCAATTATTTTTATGTATTCTACTACATTAAAAGTAAATTTTAAATTAAAAGTATAACATGACATATTGATAAATTTTTATTTAATAATAATATAAAATTATTTTACATTATCAGTGTATATCAATATAAAATTTAAATAAATATAAAAAGAGTTTTAGACCGATCTAATTTCATCCCTATTTTACTTTAAAATATAATTTACTTAACATTAAAAAGTAAAATATTAATAAAATGATGCAGTTTTTTTAAGAGGAATTGTGATAATCCAATAAATAAGAGTGTATAACTCGAGGTTTTCCAATTTTTTCTATGAACCTTTCAAAGTATAACTGCACAATACAAATTTAGTTTAAACAGGTGAAATTGTTACAAAAGTTGGTACTGTGTAACTACTATACCGCTAACGCTAGTAACAATAGTAATGATAAAATAATGATTAAAATGAAGCGAAAAGTGCGTGAGAGAGAAGGAAGAGGATCCATAGATTAGACGATAATTGCCTTCATTTGGCCACACTAACACAAGTCACACCTCTAACTACCCCTTTCTAACGAATCCAGCTAATAATAGAAAAAGCAAAAAACAAAACACACGCCGCTACTCTTATTTTCTCTTCTCTTAAACTAATCTAGAAAACAAAAATGAAGTCGGTAGAACTCAAGCGGTTATGCTTTCTATCTTTATAACAATCGAAAAATCAGAGAGAGAAAAAGAGAGAGAGAATGGCCGTGGAGTATCATTGTTGCGAACCGGGATTCTTCATCCACATACTGATAATCGTACTGTTGGTGGTGTTCGCCGGATTAATGTCCGGCCTCACCTTGGGACTCATGTCTTTAAGTCTCGTTGATCTTGAAGTTCTAGCCAAGTCCGGTACTCCTCGCGATCGTAAACATGCCGGTAAAGTAACTAACTTTTATATTCGACTCAAATTATTGCGTAACTATAAATCGAGTTGAAATTATTACCTAATTTGTTTTGGAATTTTCGAATAGTATTGGAATCGAATTAGTAACTTTAGCTTTTTTTCTTTTTCTTATTGGAGAGAGCTTTGGGATATTGTAGAAATGGAAACAGCGACTATCCTGTTATAGAAATTGATTTGAATATTATTATATCTTTATTATGCAGAGAAGATATTGCCTGTTGTGAGAAATCAGCATTTGTTGCTTTGTACTTTACTAATTTGCAATGCTGCCGCCATGGAGGTATCGTTATTAATCGCCTGTTTGGATTAACTTATTAATGTCATAAGCTATTTTCAACTTCTTTTTCTATTGAATTTTTAAGATAGTTTACGAAAACAAGTTATAACTTATATGGTTTTTTTTTGGGTAATTTTTTTGGTATTCATGAGTTTGATTGGGTATTAGTACTCTCTAGGTGAAATTAGTTAAATATATTTTTTTGTTATAGAAATAGTTTATATATAAGCAATTATATATCAACACTTATGTTATAAATGCTTAATTAAGTTGTATATTTAAAGAGAGACTAAAATCATACAATAGTTTGTTTGTTATTCTTATATGGATTTGGTATTCAAGATGGTTGTTGGTTTTTTCAGGCACTTCCAATTTTTCTTGATAGTCTTGTTACAGCTTGGGGTGCCATCCTTATTTCGGTCACATTGATTCTTCTTTTTGGTGAGGTGAGAAAGTTCTCTCCTTATATTTTTCAAGTGAAATATATGTATAACACTTGATGGTGTTCAATGTCCAATAAATTTTCCAAGGATAACCTCACTTGGGTCATGTTGAATGATTATTTTAAGTTTTAACCTTTTTGAAATTGGATTTCTGTGTCTAATACTTAACACACATTTCCTGTCCATGTGCTGACATATGTCTGCTTGTGTGAAGATTATACCCCAATCAGTTTGTTCTCGATATGGTTTAGCTATTGGTGCATCAGTGACTCCCTTTGTTCGTGTGCTTGTATGGATATGTTACCCAGTTTCTTGTCCAATTAGCAAGGTGACACACATTGAGCACATTTCCTATTTCTTTTATTTGAATAAACAACGGAAATTTAATTTGTTCGGTCTTTTTTTTTCCTTCCATGCCTTTATGTGGTTTTCCAGTTGTTGGACTATTTGCTGGGTCATCGACACGAAGCTCTTTTCCGCAGAGCCGAGTTGAAAACGCTCGTAGATTTGCATGGTAATGAGGTCTGTATCAGCTTAATATGATTATTTTTGTTGAAATAAAGACACCCACCACCCAGCTATGTTTCAAGGGGTTTAAATTCATTTGCCCTCATAATTGAACAAATCCTGTATTATATCTTTCAATAGAGGACCACTCCTATTGTAGCTTTTCTTTTTCGATGTAAATATATAATTTGACTGAAATATCACTCGGGGCTATTTGTGTACATCTCTTTTGGTTCTTTAGAACACTGCTCTTGGAAATTCATGAATCATGCTTACACCTGTTTTTTCGTTTCTGTTCATGATCGAATTGAATTAGGCTGGAAAAGGTGGGGAACTTACTCATGATGAAACAACAATAATTGCTGGTGCACTTGAACTTAGTGAGAAGACAGCCAGTGATGCCATGACTCGTATATCTGAAACATTTGCCATTGATATTAATTCGAAGCTTGATAGGTAGATTGTGTTGAACAATTTATAAATTGAAGTTGACTTTTGTATTATTATACGCATTTTATTCATGATTAAATGCCTATTACCTAGCAGGGGGCTGATGAATGAAATATTGGGGAAAGGGCATAGCAGAGTCCCAGTCTATTATGAGCAGCCAACAAACATTATTGGACTTATACTGGTATAGTATTTTTCTCTCTTAAATCCATTGACATTCAACTTTTGTTTTAGTTGAAAAGCAGCTATGAGAACCACATGCAGCTTCACCTCAACTGTTTCGAAGCACCTTTATTCTAAATAAAAAAATTCGACATTGCTAGTCAACTTCCTTAACCTTGACTGTTGAATTAAAACTATCAACCTAGAAACAATCAGACTCATGGGATTCACTTTTTGAAGGATCACCATTTGCAGAGAAATTTAAATTGATGCTCATCTTCCATGTGAGACAGTATTATCACTTGGAGTTAATTCCGAAGAACGGAACTACATGTGTATTTTCAACCTTAGGCAGTGCTTTAGATAGACAGTAGATGATATTGTCTTCCTTAGGCATTACTGACCCATTAATACCATCTATAAGATTTTCTCTTGTTGGGCGACTGATATTTCATGATTTCATTTTAAAGCCATAATGGCCATTTTAGACTGTGTAAGCTACTTGAATACTGTTGGTATGGATAAACTCCTACCCCTGCAGCTTCTGTTGTAGGGAGTGGAGTATATTAATAGGAGGTTGCTTTGATGAAGGCTGGAATTACATTAAGCTCCGTTAGAATTTCTAGTAACCATAATCCAAGTCTGAAGTACCTATATTGATCACTGTTGTCTTACATTAGAGCTTGATGGCCGATCTTATCTCGGTGGCTGGCTAAGTTCAAGAAGTTGCCTTCGGTAGTGTGTTGCAATGTTTTCTTTCTGCGCTCATGTCATCGTTAAATTGTGATATTCATAATATCTTCTGATATTGTTAGTTGGACCGCCTTCGGTAGATGGCGGTCATTGTATTGTTTCCGAGAATTTCAGCTTTTGTGGTTAGGTTTTTTTCTTTGTTTGGTTCCTATGATAATGATTGGCATTAATTTATTTTAAGAAATTTTGTATGATGAAATTGCTAATCCTTTGTGCCACTTTTTTCTTATTTTTTCAATTGTTCATTTGGTCAGTTTTTCTTTTCTCAATACATGTTGCACTTTTGTAGATCAAGAATTTATTGACAATTCATCCAGAAGATGAAGAACCTGTGAAGAGTGTAACCATACGGAGAATTCCAAGGTACCTTGTATATATATATATAATGCGGGTTTGTTTGGAAATTAAAGTCACATTAGTTTCATAATTTGCTTAGTTGGCATGATGTCATGCTAAACGCCTGTTTAAATATTACATATTGTTGAAAAGCATGGAACACCTCCAACATGAAAATTAATTTGACAAAAACGTATTATTTAGAATTGATAGTATGTAATGTTAATTATTTCGGCCATCTTCCTCTGTTTCTAGTAATTTGACTACCCTCCGTTTGATCTCTTTCTTCCTTTTACTATAAATTTACGAATTTTCTCTCTACATGCTCAAACCACTTAAGTTGAATTTCTACCTTTTCTACTATAGGTGCTACCCAAACTCTTTCTAATGATGTCATTTATATTCCTATGATCCTATCATGTCTCCAATGCAAAATCCTTATTCTTTTTATGTTGGTTCTTTACCGTCAAACACTCAGTTCCATACACCAGCGCCAGTCTTGCAACTATATGATAAGTATAGTTTTTCTTTTAGTTGGAGCAATACTTTTGTATCACATAAAACATCTGAGACCTTCTTTCATTTAAACAATCCCGACTGAATTTGATGGCTTGCTTCTTCTATTTCTTTGCTGTTTTGTAGGATTCAACATATTAACTATGTAACTTGAGGTTTGACATGATTTTCGATTTTTACCTCTAAGATAGAAATGTTTCACCTTTTGCTAAAATCATATTCCATGTACTTTGTCTTGCGGAAGCCATACACATGTATAACTTTTCTCCAACTCTCCAACTTGCCATTTAATTCATCATTTAACTTTTCAAGTAGGACTATTATCATCTTCAGAAAACATGCGGTGGTAATTCTTAGATGTATTTTATAACCACGTCCAAAGCTAAAGTAAAAAGATAAGGGCATAAAGTTGTCTTGTTGAGAGAAAGGTTAATTATTTGGAATTAATAGAATGAAAAAAACCTAGTGTAGGATACCATTTACTAAAACAATATTCAACTAATTCCAACACTTGCTGACAGGGTTCCAGAAAGTATACCACTTTATGACATTTTGAATGAGTTTCAGAAGGGCCATAGTCACATGGCCGTTGTTGTAAGACAGTGTGACAAGAACAAGCAACCATCTTCCCAAAATAATGCAAATGGTAAGAACATGCTAGTTTAAAACAGTTCATTTGCAGATATTGAACTGAAGTTTTTTTTCATAATTAATGTTATGTGTCTTATGCTTTTAAAATAGATTCGGTGAGAGAAGTGAAGGTAGATATTGATGGCGAAAAGCCTCCCCAAGAGAAAGTCTTGAAACCCAAGATACCAATCCAAAAGTGGAAAAGCTTTCCACATTCAAACAGGTCAAATAGGGGCAGTTCTCGGGGCAGAAAATGGACAAAAAACATGTACTCAGATATTTTAGAGATAGATGGTAGTCCCCTTCCAAATATTCCTGAAGAAGAAGAAGTTGTTGGAATAATTACAATGGAAGATGTCATTGAAGAACTTTTACAGGTACTACTTATTACTAACAATCTTTATGAACAAACCTCACCCACACTTGAAATCTGGTAGAAAACAAGTTTATTTACTTGTGGACAGTTTACTCACATATATTTCTTTGTAGGAGGAAATCTTTGATGAGACGGATCATCATTTTGAAGACTCATAACAATGGCTTCTCCATTAAACGTGATGTTTTCACATTCTTCTTGTTTTGGACCTTGTAGATAATTAATTAGATGATGAGGTTTAGTGTGAGAGCTTCTGTTTATAGATCTTAAATGTGATTGTAACGAAAATATCAGTAATGAAATTTAGGGACAAGAAAACTGTTAATACTTGTACGTCAAACTTTGTTTATGGAGATGCACATTAATGGGTCTTTAAGGCATGCCAGCAGATCATGGTGTATACCATTGAAAAACAAAAAAGCAAAACAAATTGTGGTGTATTTTTTTTTTTTTTTTTGAACTAATTGATAACTACTTGATTAGATTGCAATTTGCATTTGTATTTCATCAAGCATTTAATGAAATTGACAAAAACAGGAAGAAAAAAAAAAGGATAACAATACACTTGATTTAAAGCATGAACGTGATTGTGAAAATAGAGGGATCTTGGGCTGGACAAAACCATCTGGTCTGTGTGTAAACCGGCAAAATTAGAATATAATTTCTTATCTTATATAGTTCTTAACCATTGTGCGACATTATTTGAATATTTTTGAATAAATATCATATTTCGGAAATATATCTTTAAAATAATTTTAAACATTTGAGCTATTTATATTGGAGTTATTTCGGAGATGCATTTCTGAATATTTCAGAGATACACATTTAGAACATTGTTAATCTGTGTTCATATGAAATATAACGTATGATCACAAATAAAAAAAATAGACGTACATAATAATAAGAGATTAGTTATGTGTGAAAAAAATAAAATGTCGTACAATCGAGATCCAAAATATATTAAGACCATCAAAATAAAGTACATAGTATAGTACTACAACAAAATAATTAGAGGCTACTATTGTGTGTATGACAACATCTCTACCTCTTTTGCCTATTTTGTCACCTCGGCCATCAATCCCCCCGTCCTCCGGCGATGTTTCTGGTACAACAATGCCCCTTGTGTCTCCGTCATGATGGTATCTAGGACTCGCCATACCTATCAGGAAAGATACCATCTCCAATGTCTGCCCGTGCAATCTCCACTATGCGACGACACTTAGGCAAGACATCATCAATATGGTCTAGCTGAGCCTGTTCCTCCTTTAGTATCTCCTGATGAGGTAGTCTTGGTGAATCTCTTGGAGCAGCATGCACCAAGTACAAATGTGACACTCTAAAGAACCATCTTATGTACCCTTCGACGTAACTCCAGCCGCTTGAGCGTGTCTCCTTAAGCATCAAATGACTCTCAAAATCATCAAACATCTCCTTTATTTGTCTATGTGTCAAGGCAGGAGGAGCAGAGACAGCAGGGTGCCTGGGAATGGTCAGAGTGTAGTCGAGCTGCCGCATAACGCACTCGAGCAGATAAGGAGCATTGAGACGCGATTTACATGTCAACCATCTAGAGTATAACAGTATCTCATCAAATGGTCACGTCTGACGGTGATCAACATATTTATTGATGTGCATGTCCTCAGCAACCAAACGGTCAAGATAGACTTTGAAATGATCGACTGACTGGTTTCCTCTAAACAAGATAAAATCAATAGCACGCGACATATCCTCAATGTACTCAGGCACACTCGCCTAGCCAACGGTGCGTGGAAAGTGTTGAAGGATCCAAGCCTGAAATAAATAAAAAAATATTCAAAGATAGCTACGTTGATTTTGCAAATATGAAATGAAAATGACAAAAAACATTCAAAGATCAAGAATTATTACCACCAGTAGCGTCACACTCCCTGTGACTTGCTTTGTCTTCCACATATAGCTCTCTTTCAACTTCGAATAGAGATAGACTAGGCAAGTCGCCCCCCAGTTGTGGTCATGGGCACGAGTGAGATTCAAGAAGTGCCGTAGGTAGGCAACGTCAGTATAAATGGCACTCTTATCCACCAAAATTGAAGTGTCGGCCAAAAAAAGAAATTATGCTCTCAAAGCATGCGTCTTGTGGACCGCCACCTGCTCATTATCATCATGAGCCTGCTGTGCCTTCAGGATCTCAACCATATGGAGCTTCCCCAGGAACTCAAATCTAGCGTGAGCACCCCTGGTCCTATTCACCATCTATATCGCCTCCTTTGGATTAACCTCCAAATACTCTACCATTATCTCGATTGCCTCATCTTTGGTCATCCTCTAATGATCTAGGAATTTTCCCTTGATCGGAAGATGTAGCAAACATGAAACATCATCTAGTGTGATCGATATCTCACCATGCGAGAGATGAAACGAAGAGGTCTATGAGTGTCATCTCTCCACAAATGCATTAAGCATATCGAGGTTGACTAGAATGTAACCAGTCATACATAGGCCCTTCAGGTCCGATAAGGACATAAACAACTTAAACCAATCCTTATTCGGCTGAGGCATGTAACAATCTTTCTCCCGTGGTTAAGAAACATCTGGGGATAACGCTCTTGAAATTTGTTAGAAATAATCAATGTCAGGAACATTCAATGTTAGAAATTATCAATGTTAGAAATTATCAATGTCAGCAATTAAAATTAATGCATAGAAAAATAAAGAATCCAATTAATGCTACCTCTCCATCCCAGATATGTCTGACAGTATGGTCTGGATACAAAGGAAGTAAGGAAAATTCAAATGGACCTCCTGCAAAAGCCTTTGGCTCAGCATCTTCAGTAGCCTCACCCTTCAGAGTTGGCACTGGATCAGTAGCATCATTAGTGGGAGGTGGGTCTCGATCAACAACATCATCTGTGGGACGTGGAACTGATGAATCCTAGCGCCTGCGCGAGGATAGGGGAAGTGATGCGCCATATGGTGAATCTCGTCTTCTACGTGAAGAAGAATGTGCAGTGGCCTGAGGTGAAGCACGAGCCATAGAAGTAGACGGCGCCCCAGAAGTAGACATCTCTGCCTGACTATACGTGCTTGGAGACTCCGGAACCTGCTGCCTACACTCCTGTCGAACGAATGTGTGTTGAGCAACCCTTCCATGTCTCAGTCTATCAACTCTATCAGCCATTATGTGTCTATCAACTCTTAAGTTGTATGAAATTTGTTTGTCTTCTTCATTTGATGATTGTTATTACATATATGATTTCACACGCCTTGTGTCTATAAAGCTAATGGATTGGCTATTAAGACTCGTGTCTCATTGTTTGCATGAGACCAATTAATGGGAGTCAAGTCTTCTACTTCTTTGTCTGATACTAGTCACTTATGATTGTGAATACGCCTTGAATGTTATGTTTGTGTGTTAGATTGCATCAATCAGAAGTAAGTTATGTTGGCTCAAGGTCAACCTACTCAACTTGGCCCATTAAGATGAACTAGCTAGGCCTTTCCCTATTGGATGGCTTAAAATTGGGGAAAGCTTTGTTGAGTCCAGGTTTGAACTCAACTTAACTTATTCGACATGTACATAGTCCCTCAAGCATGAGGTCTGTAAGGGTGAGAAGCTTTAACTGAGAGACTGAAGTGTCCATAGTCCCTGAAGCATAAGGTATTGTCGTACCCCGAAAAATCATTTGAACATACGACCCTCGCGCGAAAGACGGGGAAATGCGGTTTCAAAGAGTCGCCACCGAACTTTATTTATCCCAAAAAGATGGGAAAGAAAAATATCGAGAAAATATTTAAAAACGAAAGACAAGAACACGGTCTTTGCAACTAATGTTCTAGGTTCGGGAGTCGGTTATACAAGGGGAAGGTATTAGCACTCCTCACGTCTGTTTTACTCAACGGGAATCTCTTAGTGCAATTTGCGATGGGCGTTATCTAAGCTTGTTTGTTTTCTTCTCAACAATAAATGTGAAATGGTAAGGTAAAAGGATAACGATGCTAGGGGAAATGGGTGGTTATAGGATAGGGTGCTCGCCAAGGATTGGGGCCCTTGTGCCTACGTATGCTCATTCAGACGAGAATGAGAAATCAGAGCTCTCAAATTTCGACTACGGGAAAGGATGGGGGAAAACGGAAGATGGAGGGAAGGTAGCTCGCTAAGATCATTGCAATCTTGTGCCTACGTATCTTACATTCAAACGAGAATGAAGAATCAGAGTGTCTGTAGTTCGTGGAGATGACCACGAATAGAGATGGGTTGAATCGTTGAAGCTTGGTACGGAAACGAAAGATTGACTGACGAACAACCCAAGGGGCGTGTCTCGAGAGCTGTCACTCAAGAATCCAAGGAATGTGAAATTCCAAGAATTCAATTCTTTCAGGAATTGATTGAAAGGGGTTTGAGGAAAGATTGAACGTTTTGAAATCGAAAGATTGAATGAAAAACAACTCAAGGGGAGTGCCTCGAGAACTACTCATTCGAAGATCCAAGGGATGCCAAACTCCAAGAATCTCCTTCTTTCGTAAATTTGATTACGAAAATGTTTAGATAGGAATCAGATGTTTTGAGATAAAAGGGTGAAGGAACGAAAACCCAAAGTGTGCGCCTCAAGAGCCATTTATTCGAAGATCCAAGGAATGCTAAACTCCAAGAATCCTCTTATTTTTCTATTTGTTTAAGAAAATAGTTTGAAAACGATTAAATCAGATTGGTTGCGAAAAGAGGTGGACGGTAAGGCAAAAGGCAATTGACTTATAAGTTTGAAAATACCGCTTGGCGTTGGATCAAGGGTTTGATTGTATTAGCGTGCAAAGACGTGGTGAAAAGGAGGTTGATTTGAAAATGGAACCGACTCGATGACGAATCGAGGGTTTGGTTGAAAAGAGGTGAGAATCGATACTAGTCCCTAGGGGTGCTCCTAGTAACAAAACCACGATGAAATGTGTGAGTGTGTGCGATAGGTTGATGACGAATACGTACGAGCAATCGACTTGCAAGGGGTGTTTAAAAATGGATTGATGATGAATCGAGAATTAGTTTGAAAATGGTTTAGTGTACGCTAGTCCCTATGGGTGCTCCTAGAAGATAAACCACAATCAAAGCAAAATACGAAAGCGTACATCAGAGTGGGAGATGGGTACATGTAAGTTACACGGGATTGCATGAAATAAAAGGGTTCAT